CAAGGCACTAATTGTTCTCTTCCATATTTGTGGAGATCATTCTCAGACATAATTAAAATATATAGAGAGGCTGCAAATTGTATCGTAAATATAATATTTATATAAAAATAGATGCTAAATACATATTTAAAACATTAAGCTACTCTATACATATATTGTTGAGGCACATGGATCAAATAGGAAAAATTTCTTTTGATGACATGAAAATGACAAATATATATTCTTTAATAACTATAGTCTGTCCAACGAGTCAGGAAAGATTTCGACAGATGACATCCAAAAAATGACAGAAAATACAATCTGCCTGTGAATTAAAGTGAGACAAAAGTGTCACTGCCAGGGATTCCCCCGTTGGACAGACCATATAGATTATGCAAAATGGTGATGATCCATAGATATCCAAGCTTAAATAATTTAAAAACAATAATTACACTTTTTTAATAATTTTTGACTATAATTAAATAACCAATGATTAAATACTAATTTTGTTAAATACATCAATATGTTGTGGATTGCACATCTTACATGTAGTATAATACCACACAATCGAAAAAAAAAACGGTGTCAAAGACGGCTGGGGAATGACAACCGATTATAATTTCGGGGAGATCAAGCCCTAGATTTTTTCTCTATTAATGGTCACGTGTCTTCTACGACATCCAGTTAGCTAGCAACCTTCTGCTTAGCAGCGCTATCATTTCGGCCACAAGGCCGGCTGTCAAGCGCTAGATGTCATTTAGTTGACCCGAACCAATGACTAAAGAATACACGGACATGTAACGCCCATATACAGGCTGCAGCAGAATTTATTTTTGTGATTTTTGTGCCTTATTGGTTCATATGCATTTTAAAAATGTAACAATAATTTATTTAAATGGTACTCTATAAGGCACAATGTTTTTTGAATGTATTAGCAGCGTATTGTACAGAACAAATACTTATAGTCTGTTGTAGGTTATGTTTAAAAATGATTGAGCAAAATTTCATCACCCAATTTTTAATAATTTTCTTTTTTTAATTATAATGTCAAAAAATAGATTAATGCAGATAAATAGACAATTATTTAGGTCTCCACTAACATTTCCCTTAATTTTGGTCATTAGTGGAGACACCACTGTTGAATAAAGCTTGATTTTCATGCATCCGTTGTCCGACGATACGTTGATACGATATTAATTTTATTGGTAGAATTTAAAGACTTTGATTGGTTATAAAATAACGCAGTTTTTAAATTTATTGCATTTTATGCCTCCGTTTATCGGATATACGTTGGTGTCATTTTATATTTTCGTTTCCATAACGATTTTGCTATTTTACCTATATTTTTATTAAGGTTAGATTAAATTTGTCAAAAAAGTGTCAAAACGTCCGTTATCGTATGAACGGGTCCGTTGACGGGCTGAAGTAAAATATTTACGGATGAAAAGTGGCGCGAAAACGCTATGACCAATCAGAGCACCGTCGGACCAACGTATCAACGTATAACAGATGCATGAAAATCAAGCTTAAGTTAACAGCTATTAAGGCAGAAATTTATTAATATGTACATTAGTAATCACAATATTCAACTAAACATATCGACAAACTGACAAAGCAAAACAACATTTTGCGTTGTCAATATTTCTTTAGAGTTTTTATGTCTAGAGGCATTACAAAAAAGATAAAATATAACTAATATATCTTGATTTTTAATGGATCGCCACTACTAAGAAACACTGACACACAAATACATACAGATTTTACAACATAGTGTGTATATTGAAACTAAAATTTAAAAATTAACCTCTCAATTTTAGTAGTACCGTATGATCGAATAAAAACGGCGTCAGCGATGGGTATGAAATGAAGATCGCTCTCATTTTATGTGTAAATTTATATAGGAAATGTCATCGACCGTCATTTCCCAGCCAACTGGACGCCGTTTTTTTCGAGCATACGGTACTTATAAGTAATAGTCCAGGAGACAGTGGATTTTTCTTTGTACTTATTTTCCCAGTGGGTGAATATATTATAGTTTGTTCGGATGGTGCGTCTGGCTAAAATTTTCGGATGGGTTAAATAAAATAAAAAAGTTCACTTAATTTTCTAGTCAAAAATATTTGACATTTATTAAAGTGAATCGTTTTATAAATCAAAATAATAGTCCAGCACATTTCAAGTGGTGGAAATTCAGTCTGGCTGCAAATTCGCGGATGCATTTGACAGATTTTTGAAATCCATAACCCTTATTTTTCTATGCTTGAAATTTAACGCATCATTTGATACAATATAAACTATACTCAAAAGCAAGTCTGGCTGATTTATGAAACTGGCAAATGAGTCTGGAGGCTCTTCTTGAAAATCTTGAAAATTGCATAATTTTTGCACTTTTATTTTTTTTATTTTCCCGGATTTAAAAATTTGTCACATGATAAATATTACTATAATTTCATAGAAAATACACGTCTGGCTGTCATTTACAACCACGAAAGCCAGAGTTACAAGTCAGGTCGTACATTTCGCATTTTTAGATGCGAAAATTTTTGACACTCTGCAATTTCGTGGTTTTCAATACAGCAAAATCGGGAAACATTATTCTTAATTTCAAACACATTCATATGATGAGAAGTTTAGGACAAGTCACCTTGACCAGATTTTTTATTGCTATTACTCAAAAACTAAGGGAGATACAAAATAAAGTCAAGAAATCGATTTTGTAGAGAATTAAATTTCCTACAATAAATATTTACATTTATTAATAACACTTTCTTATATCTCTGATATTGTAATTAGAAAGTTATTGGCGAATGAAGTTTTTTGATGATGGAGGGACGGATTAAATAAAACCTTGTTTTTTGGATTCCTGGGGACAAAACTTTGAGAAAAGTGTTTTGGCCATAGTCAAATTTTGCCCTAAACCAATACTTTTCTTATGATAAATTATGAAAAGTAAAAACATAGAGATGACAAGATGAATTTAGCGCACTTGCCGAGCGTTGGACGAGTCTGGCAAGGCTTTCGGGATGTTTCAGATGAGCCAGACTCTATTTGCATTTGTAATTATAATATCACCTGACAAAATTTAGATAGAATTTCTGTTTAGATATTGAGCATACATCCAGCTGGTAAATAAGGCAGAGGCAGACTAAAAATATTCAATTACCTGTCGTTCATGAATTTTGGTTGCCTGTAATGGAAAAAAGTAGCCAGTACATCTAGTGTTTTTAAAAACCTAAAGGTGTAGAAGCAATAAATGTACCTTTTCTCTTTCTAAACCAGGACAAATATATCACAGAACTTTTAGAAAATAATCTGCCATATGAAGAGCTTAACTAGGGTGTTTTTGATAGTTCTGATAGTATCAGATATATTTCTTAACTTGTTAAACCGTTATATTATCTTATTAACATTTGTAAGTCATAGATACAGTATTTTTAAAATATAATTTTTAATTTAGATAAAGACATATTTTAGATTATGCACTAATAGCAGAGTAAGTAGATCGCCGAGTAGCGACAGAAACCGTCGGCTCTTTTGATGTGGTATGGGACCAAATTTTCTTTCTCTCTCTTTTGACGTGTTTGACAGATAGATTACGTATTTAACTGCTCAACTTGTGAAGTGGTCCTATAAACATGGTATACACTGCTCATAATTTGAAGTGGAATTAATTATAAAGTTTTATACATATTTTTTTTGTTTTGTTTTATTCTTATTTCTAAATTTGAATGTATAAAATATCTTACAGCTAATAAATAATTAAAAAAACGATTTGTTGCTTGACATATACTTGAAATAAAGTATATAGAGATATTTGATAAATGGCAACAGTGGCAACTTTGCTTCTTCATATGACAGATAACCTACTTATTTCGCGCAGCCGCAAAGAAAATTGAAAACGGGACTGTTGCTACTCGTCGGTTCACTTACTCTGCTAATAGTCTCAAGTCAAAAAATTCAAAAAGATAAAATAAACTTTTTGAAGCCACATACCTCAAACTAAATTTTTTGATTTAGACCATTCTGGTTTTCAACAGCTCATATATATTATACAGGGTGGTCCGAACTGTATTCCGGAAACTTCGGCAGCATATTCTGCAGATAAAAATAAGTAAAAAAGTTCGTATAAATGTGTGTCCTAAAATGCTTAGTTTTGAAGATACAGGATGTAGAAGTTTCATTTTTATTTCGATTTCTTCCAAATAATTTCTGAAGTAACGTTTATATTTCGATGAAAATTGGTGTCTGGGAGTTTTGTGACACGAGAAATTAAATTTTCATGTCAAAATGACTCCTATTTGTAGGGGGCGCCACCTACATGTGTTTTAACTGTTTTGAAGACTAATAACTTTTCCTTTGTACCGGTATAAAACTACTGACTGAAACAATTTCCATTTCCATGACTTTTTACGTAAAAAATGTCTCTTGGTAAAAATCACTACGAGCAACCGTTCTCAAGATATTTAGAATAGTCAATATATGTCATTATTGCAATAATTTTTTCTGCGAAAAAATGATGATTAAACAATTTCTGTTGAACTTTTGGCACAAAAAGATTTCAAATTTATGATTTCAGTAATAACTATTTAGTCAACATGTTTAATTATGTCAACGATGACAGATATTGATAATTTCGATTCCAAATATCTCGAGAACCATTACTCTCAGCGATTTTTACCAAGAGACATTTTTATGTAAAAAAAGTCGTAAATGTATATTTTTTTACTCAGTGGTTTTATACAGGTATGGACGAAAAGTTATTACTCTTCAAACCAGTTAAAAAATATGTAGGTGGCGCCCTCTACAAGTAGGAGTCATATTGACATGAAAATCAAATTTCTCATGTCAAAAAACTCCCAGACACCAATTTTCATCCAAATATTGACGATACTTCAGAAATTATTTGGAAAAAATCGAAATAAAAATTACTATACACCCTGTATCTCCGAAACTAATAATTTTAGGACATACATTTATACGAACTTTTTTACTTATTTTTATCTGCAGAATATGCTGCCAAAGTTTCCGGAATACAGTTCGGACCACCCTGTATTTGAAATTTGCTTAGAATAAGATACCGAATAATTCTATCGGTGTTTGCTGACTGGGAAAATAAGTACCGAAAATCTTCATTGCCTCCTGGACTATAAAGAAGGCTTTCATAAGAAAATGATTTAATCAAAATAATTTAGGTAGTCCGAAGATGACAGGAAAAAAGGCAGATGACGGCCATACCAATTCATCTTTTTCACTAAAAAAAGTTTCTAATTTTCTTAAGTTAACTACGGATATTTTTAGGCAGTTTATTGCTTTAATCCAAAAATATATCATACTTCAATGGGACTGCGACGGAACGATGGACGACGCGCGACGCACGGATGCAAGAATGAACTCAAGATTTCTGAAAATTGCGAAACACTTGTCAAATTACTGTCAAATAACTAGCGTCCTAAACAGTGGAAAATATTTGTGATATTGCTTTTGTACAGGGTGGGCCCAATTGGACGCTTTTAAAGGGAAACACCCTTTTCTATAGGATATAGACGAAAACTAATATCAGTGTCTGGAGCTCAATTTTTATCAAAAACATGATGGTGGAAACCGCACATCGATATCTGTTACAGTTTCGGAGTTATGGTGTTTTTCTTAGTGCTTTTGTCTATCTCTTATAGAAAAGGGCGTTTGTGTGTTTCTAATTTTTATATTCTCTTGCTGGTACTTTCCCAACTTTGTGTTAATGTTACATAAGTAAAGCTTCATTCAGAACCTTGCAATTAGTGGAATAAATTAGTGGTTTCAATTAGCGTAGAAGTTTGTTCCTTTAATTTCAATGTAAGCATTCAGAACGCCAAAATTAGTGGTAGACATTTTCAATTAGTAAAAAAATTATCAAACTTTTAACTTTTCCACTAATCATATTTCAAAAATTGCGAGGAACGTCATTTTGGCCTTTGATTATCTTTCGTCAAGCGAAATTGTGGTTAGAAATCAAAAGTTGATTGTTTTATAAGCTAAATATTAGGCTTTTTCTGTGGATACAACTGACTACCGCTGTTGCTAGGATATTCTATTCATTTTAAATGTGTTTTTTAAACATTGTGATTGATAGTAAACTAAAAAGTATAGTGTGTAAGTGAAACCACTAATTGCGAGGTTCTGAAAGAAGCTTAAGTATTCTATTTGTATTCCAATTGCGCCAATTTATTTCTTTATAAATCAAGACAAACTACTTTAGAAGAGAAAGAGAGAAAAAATGAACGACACATATGCCATTGTCAAAAATTTTAGCATTGGAGAGACTATACTTAAGTTTTTTGACTATTTTTACAGTGGCGAACAAAAGTATGGAAACATTTTAATTTATACTATTTCTTAGGAATATCTCACTTGCTGGTAACACTGTATTTTATCTATTCTTGATTAACCTCAAGAATTTTACTGATAAAATATAAAAAACATTTGACAAGGTTTTGTCGATTATAATGGTGTTTTGGTATTTGGTTGTTTACAAAAGTATGGAAACATTTTAAATATTTTTATTTAAAATTACTTTAGTTAGTGGTCTGCCTTAGTGACTTGGTGTAATAGTACTATTTCCAAATACAATGCCGAAATGCAAGTATTATGCCTCTGACTTTAAACAGAAGATAGTTGCATTATATCAAAAGGGTGTGAAGCAAATTGATATTTCTAGGCGGTTGGACATCCAGAAGGGGTACAGTAAGTAAGGTTATTAAGTGTTATTTACAAAGAGAGACTGTAGATCCCGCAGTTAAAAGTGGAAGACCGCGGAAAACTTCCTTAAAAATGGACCACATAATTTTAAGAAAAGCCAGAAGCGACCCAAAAAAAAGTGCCGTTGATATTAACAAGGAACTTAGGGAGGAATACCCAGATGTAAACGTTTCTGACATGACTGTTAGACGGCGCCTACTAAAGGAGAACCTTTATGGTAGACGCGCCGTTAAAAAGCCCTTGTTAACGAAGCGCCACAGAATGGCAAGATTAAAGTTTGCTAGAGATCACAAAGACTGGACACAAGATCAGTGGGCTTCAGTAGTTTTCAGTGATGAAAGTAAGTTTAATTTATTTGGAAGTGATTCGACAGGATATGTGAGAAGGCCTCCTGGTCAAAGATTTGACCCGAAGTATTTAATTCCAACTGTCAAACATGGTGGAGAAAACCTGATGGTGTGGGGATGTTTTAGACGATCTGGTACTGGTCCGTTAGTCAGAATTGATGGGCGTATGGATGCTCAAAATTATGTTGAGATATTGGAGAAAAACTTGTTGCCATACGAAGATGATCTGCCTTTGTCATGGATTTTCCAACAGGATAATGATCCTAAGCATACCTCTCGACTTGTGAAGAATTGGCTTTCAAGGGAAAAAATTCGGGTTTTGGATTGGCCTTCTCAATCGCCCGATTTAAATCCCATCGAGAATCTTTGGATGCAGTTAGAAAAGCAAATCAGAAAAAGACAAATCACAAACCGAGAAGATTTATGGGTAGTTTTGCAGGAAGAGTGGCATAAAATTTCAATTGATTATTGTGCAAAGCTAATAGACTCGATGGGGAGAAGATGTCAAGCAGTCATTAAAGCCAAGGGATGACCGACTAAGTATTAAAAAAATATTTCAATTATTGATTGAATAATATTTTTTTTTGTGTATGCTTTAGAAATGTTTCCATACTTTTGTTAATCATTTTTTTAATAAAAATTTATTTTCTAAATATTTTTAAGTGTATACTTATGTTTTTAATGTATGATATTTTATACCCCGTCCCTTAAATTAAAAATAGTATTTTATAAAAAAAAAACATAATAATATACATATTATGTACAATATTAAAGGTTTATAAAATGTTTCCATACTTTTGTTCGCTACTGTATATGTAAACTATTAAGTTAAAGTTACAGAAAAGACCAAAAAAAGTTAATAAAGATGGATTTTTTTATTCAAAGGGTATGCGAGATGACTAGTGGGACGTAGAAGCTAGTACGTTGAATCACTTGGATACATACTTGAGAAACAAGTCTCGGGGTGAGTACGACGTTTACACGAAGCTAGACTAGTTCTACATGCTCGCAACAGCTTAAAAATGTCGATATAATGTATGTAAAATATTATATTTTGTGAATATTAAAATTACTAAAATACAAAAAAGTGATAATGTCGAAACGTAAGTGTGCGGTTACGGAAGAAATGCTTAGAATTTCCCCTTTAAAAGTTTAAATAAATTTAGTTTTTTTGCGACGTAATTTTGTCCCCATTTCTAAGTTTTCTTGTCCGGAATTTTCAAGAGCCTTTATGGAAACCCTAATTATAACAAAATTTATTTTATTAAAAAATAATAAAATAGATACTTAATACTATAGTGCGCGTAAAAGAAGTACGTATCAAAGTTGACATATACATAGTTCTTAAACTCAATGTTAAGTCTGTATAAAATGTATATCTATAAGAGGCAGTTAATTTTGTACTCAATACAACTCACATCGATAAAAATAAAGTTATTATCATTGTTAGCTGTATTTCTATGATAGTTTGCAATAAATTGAATTAGACATATTATTTAGTTGTCTATTTCAGAGCGAGCTTACTTAATTATTTATACTATTTCCGAATTAAATGCTACATAAATAACTTAATACGTTCCTCCTCTGTGCCGAGTGACACTTACTTCAATCCAATAAGTTCAACCAAACTAATTATTTTCAAGTATCAGCAAGGACAGCTTCCTTATTTTTTTTCTTATTTTTCCTAAAAGAAAACTTTTTTTCCTTCTTTGGTGGTTTGATTTCCTTAGGTGTGTCTTTAATATCCATTGAAACATTCTGGTCTACCATATTTTGTTGTGGTAAGTGTTTCTTCTCTGAGTTAGACTTTGGAAGTAATGATGAAGAAAATCTACAAATAAATAAAGAATAAAAAAATTCTACAAAAATAGAGATGTTTCTGTAAATTTGTATTATTTCAAAGTTTAAACCTCCAATGGGCTCTTTCATAAAAAATAAAATACCCAATTCAAGGACAAAATCTGAAATAGAAGACTATTTTCAGTATATTTATCCAAAAAAAAATAGTTCCACGATATTGAATAATTTTTTTATAGGCCCTCAAAATTGCTTTAATTTGAAATAATTTTAAAGCGCCAATTGATGACGTATGAAAAATACACCCAATCACATTGCAGAACCGTGCTCATTCGCCAGCCAACAATTGACAACATTGCGATTTGATTTGACCAGCACCACCTCAACTCAAGGCCAATCAACATGATATGGGCAAGGCAAATATGGCGGCGAAGGCAGCGCATTATTAAATTGTTTACCTTTAACCTGAAAAGCTGGTCGTGGTTTCTCGTTCCGATTGCATACAAGAAATAATTAATTATCTCTAGTTTGTTGTGCTTCTGCAACACGTTTGTTTAGTTCTTAGTGTTCAGTGCATGGTGTGATCAGAAAATTGTGATAAAATAACAGTGTAATAAAAATCCAAACCAGACATTCCACATAGAGAACTTCAAACTTTTGTGCTTGTCGTACTCCTCTATTATTAGTTATTTTAAGGTAAGAACTAGCGAAGTATTTATCAAGATATTACACCTAAATGAGTAAAAAGCCTTCGCCGTCAGTCTGCATAGTACTTTATAATGGTTACTTACAATAATCAAAAGATAGGTATTAAAGGGTAGGTATTAACATTTTATTGTAGCATGCCTTTTACATGCTCTGTTCCAAATTGTAACGGGAATTATAGAGGGGGTCCCAAGGTTTCTACTTTTATATTCCCCAAAAATGACGAGCTTCGTAAAAAACGGTTGACAGCTATTAAAAGAGATAATTTCACTCCTACTAGTAGTTCTCGGGTAAGAAGTGCATTAAATATGCCTCAAAAAGGTCAAAGGCCCCAAAGCCTCTGTTACCCTAGTGAGGATGTAGTTATGGCTACTGCTTACATTTACCTCACTATAAGTAAAATATTGGAAGAAGAATCAAGCTTTTTATATCAAAAAGATCACAGAAAGATATTGACAACATTGACATTTGAAAATATAAATGGCCTGGATGTAAGTCTTTTTTTAGGTCACAATTGCCCCTCACATACATCAGAATTTATTATTAAATCCATCTTGTTCAGAATATCAAATATTTTATTGAAGAACTATGCAAAAAAAAGAAAAACTAAGCTAAGCGTAAGTTTTACTTACGAACCCCCAAAAAGGTATTTAGTTTTTTTTTCTATATAAAATCTTCAAACACATATTATATTTTTAATTTATCCTCACCTATTATAGTTTAAATTTATTCCCATTTGTGTAATGCTGCAAAAGATAGAAAAAATATTCCATATTTTTTGACCCAAGCCAGTGTAGTTTATAATTCGAAGAGCATTTACAAAGGCTTTTACTAAGACAAGTAACTTCCTATACTGTCCATAATAGTATATATTTATCAAACGTTCAGTAAATTCTAAACTATGGTAGGTAAGTGTTTGCAATTGAATATTTAGTTTATATTGCTATTTTCTGTCATATATTTCGGGTTATTTCTTTTTCCGATGATTTTTAACACCCTGTATATGCTACTTCAAGTTTGAATATTTTAACACTACTTATTTTCTGAGAGAAAGCAGACCTTTTATAAAAAAAGTAACTAACTGATGTTTTCATAAAAGTAATAATACAAAAATTCCATACTTATGTGGAGAACTTTAGACTCCTGTAAATTAAAAAAATTAGTGAAATATTACGTAATCTAACCCGACATTTGTGTGAAAAATGTCTATTTGGAAACAAAGCAGGTTTTAAAATACGCGCCAAATAAAGCACTTCTATCTCCGCCATATTGGAAAAGGTTGAATGGCCTTGTGTGGAGGTGGTGATGGGCCAGCATGGTGGCCCGGCCGCGGCCCTGTTGCTGCTTTTCAACATGCCAGGTGTGACGTATTAAAAATAAAGTGCGGATTTTTATTCTGAGCTTTTTGGTTTTTATTTATTTTCTTAAGAACGACTTCAAATTTTTCGAAAGTGAGATAACAGAAAATTCTAGAATTAATTGTTTTATTCAATTATGCTAGTTCCAAAATATAGTGAAAGAGCCCATACTCGCTCTTTTAATACCCCAAAGGTTGTTTTACGTAAGATATCTTGGTGACGAAATGTCAAAATTACATGCTACCTCTTGGATTCTTTAACTGTAATATGGAGATATGTGTGGTAGCAGATAGTCGCAATCAGGTCACCAAAATTTAAGAAATACTCATTTTACGACCGAGAAAAATCAAAGATTTTCCTTGATTTAAGTAAAAACAATCTTCAGATTGTCACAGGGTTTCTAAGAAGACACTGTCTCCTCAACGAACACCTCAGTAGGTTGAAGCTGAGAAACAAAGGCATATGCAGATTGTGGGAAAATGAACACCAGAACATCTTATCAATGAGTGCGCCGAGACGACGACCGTTCGTGCCATGAAGAAAGGGGAACACACAATAGATCTGTAAGGTCGTGGTGATTAACCCCCCTCCTAAACATTCTACATTCTACAAAAAATCATCCAATTTGAATGAAATCTTAAACTACCTTTTATAAATTGTTATTTACTAAACGTAATTACAGTTATTTAATGCAACAACCCTATAATGTCAAAAAATCACAAAAATAATTAAATATAAGTATAATTTATATTTACTAACTTTTTTATTTTCTGTGTAAAGGACGAAGATTTCCTGGCATGCTTTTCTTCATATTTTCCTACACTGTTCACACTAGTTGATGGAACAATATTATCTTGAGGTATTGTAGTGTCAGGCAAATTACTCATACTCTGACTAAATGTAACAGAATTTGAAATATTATTGTCTATTAAATGTTTAACACCGTTGTCAGGTGGCAACAATTGTCCATTACTAAGTTCTTTAAGAACAGAGCTATAAATAAGTGTATTATTAATATTAAATAATTAAGTATAATAAAATAGTTTTTACCTTGAAAGGTTTTTGGTTAAAGATTTTTGAACTTCATTTGTTCTACTAGATAAACTAAAAAAAACATTACTACTATGTTTACTTCTTATAATAAATAACATACCTATTTTCAGGTAAACTTAATTTTGTCTTTGGTTGATTTTGACTTATTTTAATTGAATTGTATAACTTATCCCAAAAATCACATAGTGGACCCGTTTTTCTAAAATCTAATTTGACATAACAATTTAATTCTGGAGGTAGAATTCCACATTCCTTATATATACAAGGAATAATCTTTCTCTGTCTCTGTTCTAAAATATAAATAATATATTAATTTATAAAATAATGTTACCATATTACCTACCAATAGAAATAGATTGTGTCAAACTATAAAAAAACTTATTTACATTACTTTTGAGGAATTCTGGTGATATAATAACAATCACCCTTCCACACCTACAAAAAATGAAATATTAATACAAATTGGTTTCATTAATGGTTTATCAGTGTAGACTAACCTTTCCGTTATTAATTTTATTACAGACTCATGTTCTGGATTCCCAGCTAATAAGTCTCTTGCTCTTACACAGAGTTTTAAATTGTAAGTATTCTCTAATGTATCAATAAGAAGAGTTGCAAAACTGATATCATCGTCTTCGAATAAAACAAATGCATCATATCTCTGTAGTTCTAAGCCTTCACTAAAATTTTTTCTATCATCAGTTGTTAAAATAAGTTCGTCTGATTTATAATCAAACGATTCAACTAAAGGGCTGTCACATGAATGATCCTTGTTAAAAATGATGTCTTCATCTAAGTAAAAAAAAATATTGAAATGAAATATACATAATAATACAGATTCAAATTTACCCACCTATATATGGTAAAATATCATCGACCACATCATCCCTATCAAGTTTTGTAAAATATAAAAGCAAATTCTTAATAGTAGCATCAGACTTTTCTTGCCATATTTGCAAAACCTTTGATGTCGGATCTGTAAGGACAGAAATATTTGGTATAACTTCCCCAGCTATTCCACATAAATCAGCTAAGCCTTCCCAATCTCTAAAATAATGTTTAATTTCAAACTAGCATTGCAGAGTAGTATAATAGAAACTTATAGAAATTTGTAGATAACGTTTTATAAAATAGTTTACCGTAGTAATCCCTGTTCAGTTTTTATATACTTCTTTGGATTCAGTAAGTTGGAAATAATATTTATTGTATTGGCTCGAAGCACTCGAATACTATTTGTGTATTTATCATCAAAAGTATCCATTTTTAAATGATTTTTAACCTTCAGCCATAGATAAGCTTCAGCTATGACCACAACTATGACAAATGACAAGTGAGCTGCCTTGAGTGCATAGAATAGAAGTCGAAATAACTTCAGATTTCTGGTGTTAAACACTCCTAATCCATGGTCTGCGGCAGGGATGTGCGTTTACACTTTTCTATACCATTTTACGTTTTAGAGCATAAAATACAGGGTATAAATCTGGTATAAACGCATAAAATCGTAAAAAATTAGAGGGATATATAAACGTAAAAATTACAATTATTTTTATTATTAAAATACGATTAAAAAATACAAAGAAGAAAAAATTACGAGGTATTACCAATTACGACTTCTTTCCAAAAAATATTTTTAACTCCTTCAGCTAAGTTTTGCTTCTTAATAGTTGCATCGAACCCTATCGAACTAATGATTATCGGACTATTAAGATAATAATAAAATCCAAATCCAAATTTAATGAAATAAATTAATATTCTAGGTCCTTTGTAAAAACGCCTCTTTAAATAATCACTTTTGATTTATACCTTTATAACATAGTTTTTACATTAGTCTAGGTTTGTCTACGTGTCTACGTCGAAAATGCGTCGCAATATCTATTTCTAAACATAATTTCTATGGTCAAATATCAATAAAAAATATAACCTCAATTTTTGTTTTGGCGCGAATATTTGCAGTTGAATCTTTTCTTTATTAGTTTCAGAGTTAGTTTCTTTATTAGTTCTTATAAAGTATACCTACATTTTTAGTGTTATATTCCTATTTTTAAAAAAGCATGGAGACTATTAAAAGCCTATTTAAAACAAAACACCATCAAACATTTTTGGACTAGATATTTTCTGTGTGTTTTTATGTAGTATTCTGGTAGTATTAAGTTTTCCATTAACATTTGATAACTATGTTCATAGGCATAATAATGAGGAGGGAGAAACATTTAGTCATGGTATACCATGGTATACGCAACATAAACCATTTTGACAAGTAGGCATTAAATAGGTAAGATTTTCTGTTATATAAATCATAAGAAATTAAGACCTAGAGAGAAGAATTAGAAACAAATTTTTATCTCTTAATATATTAGAGTTGTACATGACAGATAAATGATTGTTTATTCAAAATTGAAAGGATCCATACACGTAACAATTTCTGACAGATTTGTGCCTGTATACAGTCCTTCAATTTAGTCCAGAACTCAACACGTAGAGTTCCATAAAGATCTTATCGAAGAGGTGAGATCTGTAATCTTTCGGTCATTTATGGCTGTTAAATGAGTGTCAGAAAGTGTTAATAACAGAGAAGTCAGACATAAATTAACATTTTAGAATTAATTGTGTGAAAAAATGTAGAAGGTTATTAGAATGCAAAATCACTACCTATTTTAGAAATAATAGTAATAGTTCAGAAATAGAACCTAAGCTTTCTCAATTTTTATATAATATGTCTATTCAATGTCTATTCAGGACTTTTCATTTTATACCTCAATATATGGATCTATATAGTAGATATGCATCTAATAAGAGATACTGATTTATTTAGTATGCTATAATGTAATATTGATAAATGTTAGTATAATTGTAATTTACTTTTTTCATTTTACTAAACTAATATCACTGAATGTTTTGTAAGCACAGAATACAGGAAATAAATTACTATGTAGGTACATAGTATTAATTGATATGATTCTACTCTTTATTCTGTACTTAGATTCCTTCAATTTTACCAAGGATTTTACTAAGAGCATTCGCCATTTTGTCATTATTAATATCTAGGCCGTAGTCTTTGCCGTAGTTGTGTGTGGCCTTAACAAAGAATTTCTAAGTTATAATTTTTTTTAAATCAATGATTTTTGATTTTTTAAAACCGACGATGAATAAAATATGACAAACCAAATACCATGTTAAAGATACAAAAATGTATTACTGTATGCGTTATTATTTGGCGATCGTTTGTTGTCTTCAATTACAATTTAATATGTGTTTGGCTTCCTTTCACTATGATCCAACTTGTGTCTCGTGGCAGGCTTGCGTCAAAAAATGGATAGAAAATGTCTCGCTCTCGTCTCGCTCTTGTCTTGCTCTCGTCTCGCGCTCGGCTCGTAAGGTCTGGACGCACCATGGTGACATGGTATTTAGTTTGTCGTATTTTATTCATCGTTGGTTTTTTCCCTTTTGGCTGTTTTCCCCTTTATCCCTTCATTTGTTTTGAGACACGACGTTTTTTACATAATACGTTTTTTTAACGTTTTTTAGAACAAAATGTTAAATAGAAAAGTTACTGGGAAGGTTAAGAAGCACATTTTAACATAACTGTAGAGTATACAGGGTACTTTAAAAAAGTGTAGCGGATATAACATATTTTCTAATGGGAATACCCTATTTTTTATTTTATTATTAGACTCTACGTACAGTTTGGTGACTTTTTTTGCATATGATATTATATAATATCTAAAATTAATAGATTTTGTAGTAATTCAATTTGTTGAAGGAAATGTTAGATGTCGGTACGGTAAAATTGGTAAAATCATCAGTGACGCAAAATTTGTAAATTCTATTAGAAAAAATGATAATACATACGGAATACCATTTAAAAATTTAAGATTACTTAATTTTAAATAGTCGAAATTCATAAATCAGAGCTAATATCTCGCAGTCGAGCGAGCCTATCAAAAACACGCGCAGACTTAGCTGCGAGCTTTCTTTGATCTCGGCCGTCGAAAAACCGACAGGGGACGGATAGCAACGAAGTTCCGTGGGTTGTCTCGTGAGGCTCTCCGGAGACCCGTCTACACTTAGCGAATTTGGAATGTCTCGCGCTCGTCTTGCTCTCGTCTCGTCCGGTCTGGACGCACCATTAAAAAGTGGATGTTCAAGTCGAAATTTTGAAGATAAGACGGACATTATTAATTCTAGTAGGTCAATGGAATGGACCCCATTAATTTAGAGACAAAAGTGAAAAAATCAGCAGAGATATTTACCAGGTATTTTACATGGGGTTTTATGTAAAAGGTTGCAAAAGTGTATCGAAATTATTTTTCGACTTTTTTTATTACCTTTATCCAATCGCTTCCCCTTCATTCCAAAAATTTCACCACACGCTACTGCGCACTAATAAGCTGTCTTGCAATTGAGTATAATCCCCTGATTTCTATATAATTTCTCTAGTTGATTATATTGAATTATAACACATAACTCTTTGGTACGTCAGTAGTGAATACTATGAGTAGCATATCCAAGAGGCAACGTCCACTAAGTGTACTATTTAACATACATAAAAAGGATACACAAAGAGGTAAACAATGAAGCTAGGTACTATAGACCATGGCGATCCAAGCAGTACAACTACAAGTGTTCGGAAGTTCGGATTGTCAAGAAACCCCATTTCGAAAAGCGTAAATTTAAAGAAGTCATTTTTATATAAAGCCACAATAATATCTACAATCTAATGGCGTTCTCAACGAACTTCACGTTTGATTGCTCACAACTCTGCCACGACTGAATGCCTTGTTCTAGTATATAATTAATTTAATAATAACTTTTGCTTACTGGAAGGTTATGAATATCTTAGTTAGCAAACGTTGATTTGTCGAGAGACCCCATTTGCGTCAAGGATTGGCCAATAGCGTAGTGGGGTATTCCGATTAACAAAGAAGGTTTCTATGAATGTGCTGTAGATGTTTTAAAGCGCATAAGATCTCTTCTATAGTTAGTCTAAGTTTCGAGTCTTGAGTGGACGGGGGTACGATCTAACATTCCCATGTCTTCGGTTCTGCATATTTTTTGTGTTGCATGTTTGAAAAACAATAGCGTGAAGATGAATTTTAGAAGTAACGATTGATAGTTATCTCTTTGTCATTCTAAGATAATTTGACGTCTTTATTTCGATTATAAGGTATAAGAGAACATAGAAAATGTATGAAAGCGATAATGCGATGAATGTTTAATATTAAGGTAGTTAGTTAAATACTTATAGGATAAGTACTAGATTTAAAACGCTTTTATGTTACTCAAGGACAGTAATTAACACTGATAATTTTATGTTACTCAAGGGCAGTAATTAAACCTGATGAAAGCAGTTGTGTTGTTTTTTCTGCTGGGTATACATCTGGACAAGTGCACAGTCCCTTTTGGATCTGTTAGGTTTTCATTTACTTTGGAAACTGAAAGACGAAAAGTAGTGCGAGGTATACTTTGTTAAGGTGAAAGGAATTGTGTTTTTTTCTGCCGGACATCCACCAAGTGCTTCTGTTCCGGGCCAACTACCATTTACACGAATCAGAGAAACACCGAGTGGTGTTTCTCTGATAACGTGATATTTAGGTTACTGTCTGTACTGTCATTGCTACGCGGAAACGTAGATGCCTTTTATTTAGGTAAATCAGTCTGTGAAAAAGAATGATTTGCTCTGGTGACTTAGCGACGGATAGGTCACTGTGATTGGTAGGTCACTACTATGAACGAAAGACAGCATCAAGCTTTACTAAGGGAGAAGAAGGTGAGAATCACACTTGGCCTGGTGAAAGGAATTGTGTTTTATTTCCGCCGGACGGGTGTAAACTCTCTATTTTGGATTAGCTACTGATCACTATACACTCTGCGACATCAAAGCCACTCTATCGGTGACAGTAAATTGTGACCTGTCTGTACTGTCATCGATACGTGCAATTACGTATACTTTAACAATTGGCGATTCAACGGCGTTACATAACTTAGGGGTTGTGATTAAGAAAGAGAGTAAAAATATAAAGTATTGAGGGGTACTCTTGATTAAGTTGAATGGAACTGTGTTTTATTTCTGCCGAACATCTTACCAAGTGCGCAGTCTCTGTTTTATGGCAGCTTCGGCTGAAACGATCTGAGAAATACCACTTGTGGTGGTGTTCAGGTTACGTACATAGTAAATTATGCTTAGTCTATGTTACTGATAAGTGGAGACTTGGTGCCTTTTGTTTAGGTAAATGATAGTGTGTTTAAAAATATTCACTGTTCACTGTGGAGACTCTTACTGACGAGTAGATCTGTAGACGAA